GATGGCCTGCAGAATCGAGGTCTTGGGGGGATCCACCCCAAAGAGCCCTACGCCACTCAGAAACCATATGCTTGAAATATGACGGCACAGGGTCTGTTCGGGCCCCAGGCCTAAACGAGCGATGCTCAAGCACCGCCGAGGCCCCACTTCTGGAAGGGAGCTCTGCCTAAGCCTCTCGAGGTGAGACCAGGGGGGCCCTTGGACCGCGCACCCCCACGGAGCGCCCGCCTGAGGGCCAGACCGCTGGACGCGGCCCACAGAGGCCCCCGCGCGCCGCCACTTCCTAAGCTCAGCGGACCTCTCGAGGCAACCTCGAACCCGCTGGGAGGCTACAGGGGCGTTCCAACATGAGTGAACCTGCCAACTGGCCCCCTGACACCCCATCGCGCCCTTGCGATTGAAGGCCAGTTTCCGCATTGCGAGCAAGCCCTCGCCAGCGAAGAGGCCATGAACATACATTTTCTCAGACAGCACCAGACGCAGCTGGCCCAGACCCGCCACGAGCTGGCCCCCGACGGCCCCGAGCTCCGAGGAGACGTGGAAACTGGCCACGAGAGCCGGCGCCGGGACGTCGTCACTGACGTTCCGAACCCTGACCAAATGGCGCGCCGCCGATCATGACGTCAGCGGCCGATATATGGAGCACCCGCGCCAACGACGTCGCCAATGGGCATTCTGCCAAAACCGCGCCGCCTGCCTCGAACGAATTTGACACGGTAACTGATGGCCCTCGGCCCAGCGTGCAGAGAGCAAACGGCTCTGACCACCTCGAGCGAGAGGCCGCTTGCCTCCGCCTCCGCGCACAGGACCGAGTGGAACACTGGCTCGTGGAACTTGTCCAAGTCCGCGGCCAGCGTCGAGGCATGGAACCCCTCGCAGCAGGCTGAACGGAGGATCATGGCCTGGCGCACCCAGCCCGCCCCGTCGCATTCAAGATCACTCTGTCCCCGGAAGACTGCGGACCCGTGGGGCCCCCCCCCCACTGCTTGGCCAGGTCGCGCCTGACCTTGCCCCGCAGAACCGAGAAAATGAAGGCGACGGGCCCTCCCGGGCCGCAGGGCTTGGAAAAGGAAGCCACGGGCGCGGGCCAGCGATGCGACAACCTGGGCACGCCTCCCACATCATCATCAGGTCGATGAGCCGCTCAACAAAATCGTGGTCGAGAAAGTCGAATGACCACGGATGGGCGCAGTCTACGCCGAGCCCCAAAGGTCGGCCTGAACCCACAACGCCTGGCGGACACGAGCCAGCGAAGGACAGCTGATCACCTCTGACTGCGCCGCCGCCGACTGCACCTCCGAGATGGCACCTTTGCCATCGAGCCAGCAAGTGGGCCGCGTCTGCTACGTGGCCGAGACTGCGGCGCCCCCCTGCAGCGGCCACCCTGCGGCTGCGCAAGGCCCCCGACATTGGGGCAGCTCCTCGATGAAACCATCGCCCAGGTCAGCCTCGACGGCCGCGACGGCGGCTTCCTGCGCCGCATTGTCCACGTTGCTGCACGGGGCGTCGAGGTCCCCGCCGACCTGAGTGACCTGCCGAATCTTGTGATAGCCCAGGCCGAGGGAGCTGACCCCCGAGAGCCCAGCTCGCTGACCAGCTGCTCCGAGATGGAAGCTGAGTGCCCCACGACAGCGCGCGCGCCCACCAGCGGCGCCCCCACTGGCCACTCACCCTTCAGCGCACCACTCAGGTTGTCCGACGGCACCCGCGTGGCCTGACCGAACAGGAGCTCGCGCTGATACAGGGGTATGAGCACGCCTTCACTAGATACTGGATCAGTGCGAAGTGGCCCGCCAGCGCCGCCGCCCTCGATCGAGCCCTGCGGCGTCGCCCCCAGGGCAGCCCGCGACGCGCCGAGAGAAACCGCCCGCCCCACCACCGCACGAAGCTGCCGCCCTGCCAACTAAGTCAAACTTGGCGCACAGGCGCAGGTCGCGCCCGCCCCCCTGTAGAGGAACTCTGGGCGAAAAAAATTAAATATTCAAAATTTTAAAATGCCCAAAACACGTTCAAAACATTGCCCCACGGCCATTGTTTGACTATGTTTGAATATTCCTCCCGAAGAGGGACAGGCCCGACTAAAGCACAGGTCCACCTCCACGTTGTTCCGGCACTCCTCCCACGCGCCCTCCAACATCGCTCGGGCTCGGCCACCCGCCTGCCGCGACCACGCGTGCTCGACGGGCGCAGCGTAACACCCGACGTCGGGCTCCTTTGGGAAGGCCTTTCAGCTTTAGCGGACATGCTTCGGGGCGCTGATCGGCGGCCCGCGGGGCCGCGCAGCAACCGCCACGCGCGGGGGCATGGGAGGCCGCAGACAGCCTGCGCGCCCGACGCGCACGTCTCAAGCCCTTGGCTGATCCCTGCAGCCGACGCGAAGCACGCGGGACCCGCGAAAACGACGAGCGCGACCCTCAAGATCTGGCACCAACTGGACAGGGGCGCCGTTTCGGGCGCGACGCCCCGATCCCCGCCGACGATCCGTGGAATCGCAGATCTGCGCGGGGCGCGGCCGAGGTCGCCGAGCCACTCCCAGCAAACCCACTTCCCCGACGACCCCACGCGGCCGTGGAACGAGATGACGTACATGCCGCGAGGGAAGATCAGGTCGGCCTCGGCGATCTTCAAGCGGCGCCCGGCCTGCGCCGCAACCCCGAACTTACCGAGGCCCACCCCGACGAAGAGAACGCGCGAGGCCAGGGCCGTGAGCACCCGCCCTGAGCTCTCCACCGTCGTCGGCCCAGCGCTGCGCGCCATGCCGAGGACACCTTGCAGCCGACGCCCAGCGCGCCATGAAGAAGCCGAGCGGATCCTCTCAACCCCCTCGACGAGGCGCCCCTGGCCGAAGACCACGCGGGGCTTGCCCTCATCCCCCTGGCTGCGCTGCCAATCTCCCGTCGGCTGCATGAATGACCACGAGTTGGCGTTGGCCGCCCAGAAAAGCCACGTCTTGCTGGCGCGGCGCGAGCTACCTTGGCCCTGACACGTCTCTCAGCCTGATGACCGCAGGCCGAAGTCGAAGCACTGGTCCTCGTCGACCCGCTGGGCCTCCTCAATCCACTCGTGGCCGTCGAACCCCTCGGCGCCGCCGACGACGACGAGGCATGCGCGCCAGCCTCCTCCAGTGGACTCCAGCGATCCCACCCGCCGAGAACTCGGACCTCCCTTTCGGCCTGGCTGCCCGCCAACCCGAAGGGTCTCGGAAGGTCCACACAATCGGGTCGCATCCGCCTTCTCAGGAGGGCCGGGCGCCAGCCTGGCCACCTGCCGCGGAGACTCTGCACTGGAAGCCGCCCCAGACGCAGAGGACGCCAAGGCCGAGGTTGAGCACGAGGGCAGGGGGGCGCGCCTTCCTGGGGCTGAACCTCAAACACCCCCTTCCCTCTGGGGCCATGCCCTGTCGGACCCCGCAAGCCACCGGCAGCCGCCGACGCCGACGTCCCCAAGGGCGACGCCTCCATCTTCGACGGTCACAGAACAGCATCGAGTCAAACGTCAGCTCCAGACGGGCGGCTGGGACAGCGAAGCCGGCCCGCCTGCCACTCAACGTCCACCATGTTCTGCGACCAGGAGACGGTCATGTCGGCGCCGGCGACCAACGAGCTAAACGAGCGACTTCCGAGCCCGCTTGACTCCGAAGGCGACCACCGCGTCCATGCACCTACGCTTGGCTGTCTCGACCACCTTAAGGGTGGATCCTTTGGCTGCATTGAGCTCCTCAGCGGCCGCTCGCAATGCCGCCCCTCGGCCAGCGAACTCCGCACCCTCCAGCAGCTCCATGTCGACGTCGTCGTCATCGTCGTCGACGGGGACATCGGCGCCGCCAGCCACAGCAGCTGCGCCGCCAGGAGCAGGAGCACCAGCGCCGCCGACATCAGGCCCCGCTGCAGCCGCTGCCTGCCGCTTGGCCGCCGCCTCAGACTGCAGCCGCTGGATGGCTGCCAGAGCCGTCCTGCGACTTGGCGACACTCTCGTCCAGTGCAGCGCTGACGGCCGCGAGCGAGTCGGCGGACTTCCCCGACTGCAGGCGGAACAGGATCTGCCCGACTTTGGCCAGTTTTTTCCTGCACGCCCCCAGCGAAGTGTCCACCTCGACCAGCTCCACGTTGATTGACTCCCGCTGCTGGCGGAGAGACTGGGTGCGACGTTCCAGCTTGACGATCTTGGAGCGCAGGTTCTCGACCTTCCAGCGCGCCGTGCGAGTTGACGGGACCGTGGGAGCTCGCCTTCTCCTTCTCCGCCTCTTCCACCTTGGCCGAGTCGACCCACTCGCCTTTGAGATAAAAAACGACGTCGGCAAAGAGACGCCCTCGGGCCCAGAGCCGGGACCCGCTGAGGCCTGGGACTTCCAGGACGGCTGCTTGCCTGCACTCTCAGACACCGAAAGCTAGGCGACCTTGGCTTCCAGATCACGAATCGTCTTAAGCAGAACGTCGCTAGAGCCAGGCCCGCCTGCCACTTGCCCTGCGGGACACGCCGAGGCCCGCCAGGCGCTGCCGGTACCGCTGCCTTCGCCGCTGCGCGCGCCGCCGACTGAATGCGCTGCGGTGCCGCCTTGCCGCAGCCGCGGCAAGCGATCCGCGACGCCCAGTTGGCCACCCCGCCGCACCCGCACGCCCACAGCGGCGCCCGCGGCCCTTCCGACACATCCCGCTTGGCCATCGGCAGCGCGCGAACGCTGTCGTGATGAGACTGCACAAAAAGTGACTCGTGCCCACGAGCCGCGTCGCAGTACGTGGGCACAAGCGCGGACTCTTCACGCAATCAGCTCGAGCCGAAACGGCCAGGAGGCGGAGGAGGCGGAGGAGGCGGGGGAAAGAGGAGGAGGAGGAGGAGGAGGAAGAGGAGGAAGACCCTCCCTGGCGCCTGCGACCAAACGCGAAGTGTGGCCGTTCGCCCCGTCACGGCCTCAGAGCCTCGGGCCTGGAGCAAGGAAAAGGCGTCGCCGCGCGGCTCCTGACCGCACACAAACCTACCGCGGCCCTGGGAAAGCGCCCCGCTCAGATGAGGTCTGGTGGATCTGCTGCGTCACCGCCGCCCTGGGCGATCGCGCGAGCCCCATCGCCTCCCCCTCCCCCCCTCCTCCTCCCCCTCCCCCTCCTCCTCCTCCTCCTCCTCCTCCTCCTCCTGCTCCTCCTCTTCGTATTATTATGAATAACAGTACGTATTATGTTTAGTCGTATTAGTAGTATTATTACTAGTATGATTAATAATAATACTATTAGTATTAGTATTAGTATTAGTGTTAGCATTCGTTTTCTTATTAGTATTAACATTCATATTATTATTATTAGTATTAGTAATAGTAGTAGTAGTAGTAGTAGTAGTAGTAGTAGTCGTAGTAGTATTTGTAGTAGTAGTATTGTGATTATTATTAGTATTATTTGTATTAGTATTCTTAGTACTATTATTAGTATTATTACGATTCGTCGTATTAGTATTATTATTAGTACGATTCCTCATATTATTCCTCTTCCTCTTCCTCTTCCTCCTCCTCTTCCTCTTCCTCTTCTTCTTCCTACTTCTCCTCCTCCTCCTCCTCCTCCTCCTCCTCCTCCTCTCCTAGTCCTCCTCCTCCTCCTCCTCGTCCTCGTCCTTCTCCTCCTCCTCCTCCGCCTCCTTCTCATCCTCCTCCTGCTCCTCCTCCTCCTCCTACTCCTCCTCCTCCTCCCCCCTCCCCCTCCTCCTCCTCCTCCTCTTATTATTCTGTGTCTTCTTATTATTAGTATTCTTCATATTTTTATACTTAGTTTCAAAAATCTTTGTCTCATCATTATGTTTAGTATTCTTATTATTCCTGCTAGTATTCATATTAATATGTTCTTCATATTAGTAGTTTGTATGAGGATTTCGCGAGACAACGTCCGGACGGCGACCGGACGCGCTCTTTGCAGCAACCGGGGGGAAAGGGATGTATGTATTCATGTTGAATGGGGCCCGCTCGCGCGGGGAGTTGATGGGAGTGCGCGAGACGACGCAGGGCCCATCGTGGAAAGTTGATTACCGAACCCCCCTCCCCATAGAATCTTAACACGGGCGTTTTGCGGGGTCCGCAGATCCGATTTTTTCCCGTCCCGTTTTAAATGAATAATAAAAACTTAAAACAAGGTAGAAATCGGATCCACCGTAAAAAAAAGACCGGACACGGATCCAGCTAATCCGACATCGGATCCGTACGGACGGAAATCGGATCCACCGAAACAAACATCAAAGCCACATTTGGATCCGCGCGAACTTCATTGGATCCGACGGCGGTTATCTCATACAAGTCTGCTCAAGACTACACACCGTCGTTCCGGGCCCAAGAGGAAAAAACTTTCGTCCTGGAGATGGGCGTTTTGGCCTTCGGACTCGTTGGTCACCATCTACCCGACACACCACATCTCACAGGCAGTCCGTTGGGTGAGGAGACGCAGGGCCAAAACGCATGGGCGTTTTGGCCTTCGGAGCCGTTGGTTACCATCTAGCCGACACACCACATCAAGAGGAAAAAACTTTCGTCCTGGGGATGTATTATTAGTATTAGTAGTATGAGTCCTCTTCTTCTTGTTCTTCCTCCTCCTCCTCCTCCTCCTCCTCCTCCTCCTCCTCCTCCTCCTCCTCTCCTCCGTATATCATCCTTTACCTTCCTTGTATCATCCTTCGATCCCCCATGTCCTCCTCCCCCTCCTCCCCCCCTCCTCCTCCTCCAAGTCCTCCTCCTCCGACTCCTTCTTCTCTCCTAGTCCTCCTCCTCCTCCTTCTCCTTCTCCTCCTCGTCCTCGTCCTCCTCCTCCTCCTCCTCCGCCTCCTCCTCATCCTCCTTCTCCTCCTCCTCCCCCCCCCTCCCCCATCCTCCTCTTCCTCCTCCTCTTCTTCATCTGATTCGTCTGCTTTTCTTTATATTATTATGTTTATTCTTCTTCGTCCTCCTCCTCCTCTCCTTTTCCTTCTCCTCCTCCTCCTCCTCCTCCTCCTCCTGCCTCCATCCCTTCCTCCCTCCCTCCCTTCATCCCTCACCCCCCCACTCTCTTCCCCCTCCCTCCCTTCCTCCCTCCCGCCATCCCTCCCTCCCTCCTCCGCTTCCTCCAACTCCTCCTCCTCATCCTCCTCCTCCTCATCCTCTTCCTGCTCCTCCTCCACCTGCTCTTGCTCCTCCTTCACCTCCTCCTCATCCTCCTTCTCCTCCACCTCGGCCTCCTCCTCCTCCTCCTCCTCCTCCTCCCTCCTCCTCCTCCTCTCCTCCTCCTCCTCCTCTTCATCCACCTCTTCGTTCTCCTCCTCCTCCTCCTCCTCTTCCTCCTCATAATTATCATCAGCATCATCATCATCATCATCATCATCATCATCATCATCATCATCATCAGCATCATCATGAGCAGCATCAGCATCAGCATCAGCATCAGCATCAGCATCAGCATCAGCATCAGCATCAGCATCATCATCATCATCATCATCATCATCATCATCATCATCATCATCAGCAATACCATCAGCAGCAGCAGCATCAACATCAGCATCATCAGCATCATCAGCATCATCGTCAGCAACATCCTCATCTGCATCAGCATCGTCATCATCACCATCAGCATAATCGTACTCAGCATCATCAGCATCATCACCATCATCAGCAGCAGCAGCATCAGCATCAGCATCAGCATCATCTGCACCAGCAGCAGCAGCAGCAGCATCACCAGCATCACAGTAAGCATCATCAGTATCATCATCAACAACAACATCATCAGTCGCAGCAGTATCATCTTCAGTATCATCAGCGAGGGCATCACCATCATCATCGTCAGCGGCAGCATCATCAGCATCATCCCCATCATCATCATCATCATCATCATCATCATCACCATCATCATCAACATCAACAGCAGCAGCAGCAGCCTCAGCAGCATCGTCGTCATCGACATCATCAGCATCAGCAGACACATCACCATCACCATCAATATCATCATCATCACCATCATCATCATCATCATCATCATCATCATCATCATGCTCAGCATCAGCACCGTCGTCATAAGCATTATTAGCATCATCACCACACTCACCATCACCATCACCATCACCATCACCACCACCACTACCACCACCACCACCATCATCATCATCATCACCGAAATCAGCATCACCATCGTCACCATCATCACCATCACCATCATCACCATCATCATCATAATCAGCAGTATCACCACCATCGGCATGATCATCATCAGCATCATCAGCAGCGACATCAGTAACAGTATCGTCATCATCATCGTCAGTAGCAGCCGCATCGTCATAATCATGTTCGTCATCAGACTCATCATCATCATCATCATCATCAATATCATCATCAGCCTCATCATCAGCATCATCATCGTCAGCATCGTCATCATCATCATCATCATCATCATCATCATCATCATCATCATCTGCGTCATTATCATCAGCATCGCCATCACCATCATCATCATCCTCATCATCATCAGCAGCAGCATCATCAGCATCATGTACATCATCATCATCGTCATCAGCATCATCATCATCAGCAGCAGCATCATCAGCAGTATCATCAGCAGCACCACCATCATCAGCAGCAGCATCAGCTCCATCATCCTCAGCAGCAGCAGCAACCTCAGCAGCATCATCATCATCATCATCATCACCAGCATCAGAATCACCGTCACCATCACCATCACCATCACCATCACCATCATAGCATCATCAGCATCATCACCATCATCATCACCAGCATCATCAGCATCAGCATTATCATCACAATCAGCATCGTCATCAGCATCATCAGCAGCATCATTATCATCATCGCCATCATCATCACCAGCAGCAGCCGCATCAGCATAATTATGCGCGTCATCAAAATCATCAGCATCATCAGCATCAATATCATCAGCCTCGTCATCAGCATCATCATCGTCAGTATCGTCATCATCAAAATCAGATCATCATCATCATCATCATCATCATCATCATCATCATCATCATCATCAGTATCACCATCATCGCCATTATCATTATCATCATCAGCAGCATCGTCATCAGCATCGTCATCGTCATCGTCATCATCATCAGCAGCATCATCATCAGCATCGTCATCGTCGTCATCGTCATCAGCATCAGCATCAGCATCATCAGTATCAGTATCATGATCATCATCATCATCATCATCATCACCATCATCGTCATCATCAAAATCATCATCATGCTGCCACCTCGCTCTGCGCGCTGGAGAAAAGGAGCGGGAAAGAGTCAGAGCGCAAAGAGTCAGGACCCAAAATATCCGCGCCGATTCAGAAAAATAATGCTCCAGCCGTTGCTTTGCTTTATGAATCATATCCTTGTGCGGAAAAATGCCCTCACCGCGGCCTCTGAACGTGTTCCTTGCCCACGCACCCGAGGCGACGACGACGACGACGACGACGACGACGACGACGACGACGGAGACGGGCGCGTCTCCAGGACGGGCGCGTCTCCAGGGGTGTCCAAACGTGAGGTTTCCGGAGGCTCCGCGAAGGTCTCTGGAGTTCCCAGAGACGTTTGCTGGGTGCTTCCAGAGGGCCAGAGAAAGCCACAGGCACCCAAAAACCTTGATCCTCCCCCATCTGCCCAAGACATCCGACGGCGTGCGTGATTTGCTCCATACGGGGAAGGTGCGACTCTTGCCCATGGGCCAGTTTTTCACTCCGAGTCGTTGTTTACGGTCTGGAACAATAAGACGGCGGCCAGGACTAGAAAGCTGTGACAAACCCCGGCCCCAAGTTGTCCGAGACGAAAGAAAGACGACGACGACCACGACATGCAGGATGCGTCAGCATCGTATCGGAAAGTCTGATCGACTCGGAGTGCGCGTCGGATCTGGCTGCTTCGGCAGTTGCTACATCAGCACGGAGACACAATCGCATCGAATCGGCCGCGCCAGGTTGCACAACAGCGCCGTGCAGGCATCGGCCGCCTCGGATCCTCGGCACATTGAGCCGAATCGGATTGGGCCGGCCAGAATCGATATCGGATCGGACCGATCGGACTGGGATAGCAGTATGGACATCCTGAA